CCCAATTCGCCCAAGTTTTATGAGTTTGAATTTCTTCTAAAAAATCATGTGAAGTGAATGGTTGTGCTTCTTCAACAATTGGAGGTTCAAACTTTACTTCTTCTTCGACAAAGGTCAAACTATCATCATGAAAAATAAGACTGACATACACGTCACTGTCATCCTGCATATATCATATTTTTATAAGAGCAAAAAATATGAGATACATGTATTACAAGCAAAATACATTTATATTTGGACTTTTTATACCTGACATATTTTTCAAAGTTGCTCAAAATATGCTCAACAAGTTCTTAAATTAATGATTTATTAATTCACTTAAAAATGCAAAATATTACACATTTTTAATACTTCGTAATATATTACACATACAGAGTATTAAATTCACCTGACACATGTGCCTTAAGTTTAAAATTAAACTAACATTCTAAATTATATGTAGGAGCCGTTAATTTATAAAAAGACAATTACAATTTGAAGTGTACTTATTAGTTTGGCAAAAATTAATTATTGGGTGACATTAATTTTTTATTATAATATGATGTTTTTAATTGAATTAAAATCTACTAGTCTAGTCTAATCTGGTATAATTTTATCTTACTTGTTCTAGTAAGTTTGGTCTAGTCTAATCTGAACTAATCTGTCCTATTAGATGTCATGTAAATCTTCACTCCCTGGGATTAATCTATTGGCCTCAAAGAACCTAAACATTGAGAAGTGTTCAATTCTGGCTTGATCTCATCTAGTTTCGTACATATGTTACTAATATCTAAGTTAGATATAGTATGGGATAATATGAGACTGAAATGAGTTCAACTGAAAGTATCAGTTACACTATACAAGTTTAAACATGATCAAAAAATTAATTATGCCTATTTATATTTAAAATTTTGGATAAATAAAAAAATATATTAAACTAACCTTCTAAATTATTTGTAGGAGCCGTTAATTTATAAAAAGAAAATTGTAATTTGAAGTGTATTTATTAGTTTGACAAAAATTAATTATTGGGTGACATTATTTTATTATTATAATACACATAAGGATGTTTTTAATTGAATTAAAATTTACTGGTCTAGTCCAATCTGGTATAATCTTATCTTATTTGTTCTAGTAAGTTTTGTCTAGTCTAGTATGAACTGATCTATCCTAGAGATGTTACTAAAATTTAGACGTCCCATGCAAAACAATTTGGGACAAATGGAGTATATACTTTTTCATTTATCTTTATATTAATTATATTGCTTCACTAGGGACATAATTGACCATCTTTGTCAACAAATTGGTGCGCCTATCCATTTTGCTTATAAGCATCAATGCATTCTATGTGAGTGAGACATCAATTGGGAGTGGACACCCCCATCTAGTGTTTCACCCATCTTCAACAGATTGATTAAAATCAGGGACACCTTGATCACTAAGCTGGGAGGACAAAATGCTATGATACACAAGCTTACAACCTTTTGTCACCTAGGGAAGCTGCAAGCGGCTAAAATCTATGACATTTTGAGAACTAAAGGACAACACAAACCATGGATGAGACAAATATGGAAGGATTACATCCCTCCTAAATTCTCGTTTATCCTATGGTTGGGACTTAGAAACAGGCTGGCTACGTGTGATAATCTTCTTTTTATTGATATGGATCGTACTTGTTTTTGTAAGAGCCACATGGAATCAGCTACACACTTGTTCTTTAATTGCCCATTCACATGTGCAATATGGAGGGGGTTAAAAATGGCTGAATGTCAAGAAAAATCCTTCCACACTTCTTAGTATTGTCAAGATGTGTATTAAGCAATACAGGGGTGCAAGATTGAAGAGCAAGGCGATCAGACTATCTTTTGGTTGTACCGTTTATTCTATTTGGAAAGCTAGGAACGAAGTCATATTTGCCCATAAAACAGCTACCATCCAAGGAGTGTTCGAACAAATTAAATTTCTTGTCTATCGAGTGTTATTCAAGATATACCCCATTGATATGATACATTTTTTATCCTTATTCTGGGAGGTTATCTTAATGTCACATTTTGAGTGATTGTGGGTGTTGTTTGCTGAGCAAAGGCCTGTTTTGCGTAAGCTGAAAAGGGGTATGCCCCTTTAATACAATGTACTACCTCCGTCCCATATTTATCTTCATAGTTCGGTTTACGATGTTTGACTGACGATAAAGCAACTCGATCCCTGTTCACACTCGGATTATTTTTAGTAAATAAAATTTACATATTCAGAAACTACATTAAAACCGCTACAAAGCCTGATCAAGAAAATTTAAGTTTGACAAAAATTTGATATATAAAGTAAAAGATTAAGAGTAATTTGAGTTGACCATGTGAATAGTACCTATGAAGATAATTTTGGGACGGAGGGAGTATTTAATTTCTGCATTTATATTATTAACCTTTCATCATAAAAAAGGTTGAAAGTTATCACAGAGTTAGGGTCTGTTTGTAACACTTTCTGTTTTTAAAAAAGTGATTTTTTTAATGAAATGGTGAGAAGTGATTAAATAAAAGTTGATAGTGTTTGAGAAAAAAATGATTTTGAAAAGTAAAAGTGGATAGTGTTTGGTAAAATAAGTGTTTTTTGTGTAATAGAAAAAGTAAAAACACTTTTGTCGCGGAAGTCAAGAAAAATAAAAGTTGTAGGGGGGTGTATTCAATATGGATTGTTGTGGACTTTTTTTAATCCATGAACTTTTAAAAAAGTCAATGGACTTTTAAATCCATAGACTTTTTTATGAATGAATTCTATGGACTTTTAAATCCATGGATAAGTTATTGACTTTCAAAAAGTCCATAGACTTTTAAATGCGGACCGCCACTGCTGGTCGTCAAAATTTTCACCTAGATTGTCGCTATCGATATGCCTGTGACCTGTCCGCATCCATCACCGGAGTTCCCCGCTGTCGTCATCGGACTGACGCGTCACCAACAAAATGGCTTTGGTTGTGAAAGGGAACTAGGGACAATTAATTATATTAATTAATTAATTAAATTAGGGATGAATATGTAATATTTATTCCCATTTAAGAAAAACCAAACATTTAATCATACTTTAAGAATAATGCTATGTTTTAGTCCTACCGTGAGTGATTTCCTCTATATAATACGGAGTACGATAAGAAATAAATAAGTAAATAAATAAATAAATAAATAAATAAATAAATAAATAAATAAATAAATAAATAAATAAATAAATAAATAAATAAATAAATAAATAAATAAATAAATAAATAAATAAATAAATAAATAAATAAATAAATAAATAAATAAATAAATAAATAAATAAATAAATAAATAAATAAATAAATAAATAAATAAACAAACAAACAAACAAACAAACAAACAAACAAACAAACAAACAAACAAACAAACAAACAAACAAACAAACAAATAAATAAATAAATAAATAAATAAATAAATAAATAAATGAAAAAATGTAATTCATATAGCAACACAAAGTTCTACAAAAATAAATGAAGCATAAGAATTCAAATTTATTTTTATTAAAAAAAACTCAAAGTTTCAAGAATGCTCGAGAATTTTGGCCATTTTTATTAATGATTAAGAACATTAATCGTTACACAAGCGTTACACTCATTGCTACATGTGGTACAAGCATAAATGCAATCGAGCTTTTCTACTTAGTGATTGTATTCTTTTAACTTCTATCTTGTAAAAACTTGTATATGTATTTATGGTTATATATTTATTAATTTGAAATTATATTTTTATGTGTTAAACGATTTAACGATGAAAGAAAGTGATAGTAAAAATATTTATTTTCTTAATGGTTAACTGATGACGTATCAGAATTGCATTGATGTAATACTATCGATTCTTATATCGGTTCTTCTATAAACTTCTGGAATCGAATCAATATAGGATTACTGAATCGAGGGGGGTGGAGTGGGGACGGCAAGCTAAAGAAGAAGAAGAAGAATGGAAGGAGAGGGGTGGGCGAGCTGGGTTAAAGAAGAAAAAGAAGAAAGATTGAAGAGGAAGGTGTGGCTTGGGTAAAGAAGAGTAGAGTTGGGGGAGGGGGGGGAGTAGGCTTGGCCCGAGGCCGGTCTGACTGGCCCGAGACCCGGCCCGGCCCGGCCCGGCCCGCCACTGTGCGGGTCCGACCCGGCCCGTTGGATCGGTACCGGTACCGGGCCTAGGCCCGACCCGGGGGATTAATTGGGGCGGTTCCGGAACTGCATATTTGAGGACCAGCCCGGCCGGTTCGGGCCCGGTCCGGGCCTTAGTTGTTTTTTTTTTTTTTTTTTTTTTTTTGGGGGGGGGGGGGGGGTTGGCCCCATGGTAGGTAGGCTGGGTGTTTTGGAGGGGTTTCGGGGTGAGGGTTGGAATATATAAGAAAACCGAAAAAAATGAACCAGCCCGGCCCAACCCGGAACTGGCCCGGCCCGGCCCGATACCAGTAGACTCCCAGGCTGGTCCCGGGCCTTACCCAAAAAATTCCAAGCCCGGCCGGGCCCGACTCGGAACAGAAACCGGGTCTGGCCCGGTCCATCCCTAGGAGGGAGGGGAGGAATGGGGTGGGATGGGATGAAGAACCGATATAAGAAAAGTCCACGGAAATCTTTGGTGAGGAGAAGAGACAATTGCAGAGAATTTTTGCACTAAAAATGAGTTAAAAGTCCACGAGAATCCATGATTTTAGAAGTCAATAAGAATGAACGGAAATTTGAATACGCCTAGACTTTTATAGACTTTTAAAAGTCCGCATTGAATACACCTAGACTTTTGTGGACTTTTAAAAGTCCACATTGAATACACCTAAACTTTTAAAATCCATGGACTTTTAAAATTTTGCCACTAAATCCTAATACAATACACCCCTGTAGTGTTCAGGATAATAAGTGCTTTTTTAAAACCAAAAGCTGAAAAGTATTTTTTTTAAATTAGTGTCAAACCAATCCTTAAACATGTTTCACCAATTGTACAAAATTAACATCACACAATAATAAGAAAGTACAGAGTATATTATTGATTATTGAATGTTGGTAGAACGTGGGACAGATTCCATAGCCAATTAGGTTAGCTGCCAGCAGGCAAGTTCAACTCAAACTCGGACGGTCAAAGTGAAGACGCGTATTCCTCCTAACGCCAACAGCGATTCCAACTCCTCTCTTCCTGAATTGGGTTGATTTCTCTGCGGCCGGCGGGCGGCTGGGCGGGCAAGCGCTTCTGTTTTTTCTTCCAACCGGAAGACAGATATCTGTCCTTCCCGAAACCCTAGCAGGCTAGCACCGATCTATCCGCTTCAACTCTCCGCGTAGATTTGAATCGCCGGGAGGAGAAAGGGGAGAGGCGGTGGAGATGAAGCAGGATGGAGGGTTTGTGTCCGATGAATTGTTGGGTACGTTCGTTCCCATAGTGGTGTATTGGTTGTATTCAGGTCTATATCTGATGCTCGGAGGATGGGAGAATTACAGGCTGCATTCTAAGAAGGATGAAGACCAGAAGAATTTGGTCTCCAAGAAAGATGTCGTCAAAGGTGTCCTCCTCCAGCAGGCCGTGCAAGCTTTCGTTGCCACCATCCTCTTTGCGGTATGTTTTGCACTACCCAATTGGCTAACTCTGCCCTTTAACTGTTTGGCAAAGCTTCTTTAAGCTCATGTGTGAAATTTTTAATCAGGCAGCAGTTTTGGGTTTTAGTCATATTTAATTAAAGCAAGCTAGGATTGTATGTGATTCGTAATAACAACGATTAACCATAACCTTGCCTTTATGTGATAAATGTGCGTGCCAATTTGGTGTTCTGTCAGAGGAGAAGAATTTAAGGTTTATTCTTGATTCGTTTTGTTTTGTTATCTCTAGGGTGTGTTGGTTTTGAATTTAATGTTTTCCATTAGTAATACAATCTTATCATCTTAAGAATAAAAAGCCTATGCCTATAAAGTTTCCATGTTTCTTCAAGAGTTTTCTCAAAATGGACTGAAATAGCTGGATATCTATATGGTCGTTGTTTTGCCTCTATTCAGTTTTCACTGATAGTGTTAGTTTGGTTTGGTATTTTATGTTGCAATTGTTCCAGGGGTGAACCTTGTAGCAACTAGCAACCAAGTTTGAACTATGAACCCAAATGCAGTTAAATTCTTATGTAGCAACTCATCAAGCATGAAAGGATTGATCTCATGACTGATTACATGTGAACTGTGGTGTTAAGTCATTTTGGTTGTACACGTGTATTTGGAAAACATTTAGATGCGATAATGTTTATAGATCTGAATCAAAAGCTCGTTTTTGATCAGTTTATGTCTGTGACAATTGACTTAGGAAAGCCTTATTTATCTTCCGGTTGGAAGAAAAAAAACTCGTATTTTTTGGAAAGGATGGATTCAAAACATCAATTGATCTGAAACAAAAGCTCACATTTTTCGGAAAGGATAGATTCAAAACATCAATTGATCTGAAACAAAAGCTCATATTTTTCGGAAAGGACAGATATTAGGTTATTTATCTTGATAAATAGAATGTTTTCAAAAATGATTAAAAGGTGATCATAGTAGTCAATGGCTAGATATGGCGCGCGCCATATGCGCCATCTCCATGAAAAAATGGTCGCCGCCGTAGCGCCTATGCGCCATTCGTATATGTGCCATTGCCATGCGCTATGAAAAATGCCTTTGAGCCATGGCGATCGCCATGCGCCATGACAACTATGAAGGTGATTTATATGTTACATGATAATCTATTAGGTTGTTTGTTTCAATTTGTATAAAATCTTAAGTAATTATCGAGAAATAGATCTGGCCCTCCAAAACCTTCCCCTCCAATGCCCTTATGGTGTGTTTGGATTGACGTAAGTAAAGGTAATAAATGAAAGTGAGTGGCGTTTTATTAATGGAAGCAAAGTGGAAGGAATTGAAAATATGTACTCATATTTGGGGGTAGAGAGGGAAAGTAACCATTCTTACAAGTTACACCCCAATATGAATTGTCAGAGAATCTCATTTCTGTATTCCAATCCTTTCTTAACAACATAACTCCCGACTCTTTCCATTTTATTCCATTGAATAGCCCATGTTCATCCATGTAAATAAACTGTTGAGGAATAACCGAATAATACGTGCAACTTCTTGAGATAGTACATTTTGAATCACTATCATTGGCAAAATTTCATTTGGATGTATGATTTTTGCAATTCTCATTCCACATTGCTTTACCGGTAGATTATTTCCTTTGTATAATGTTTCGCTCAATTAATGTTTTGAATCTATCATTGTATTGGGATTCATTTGCTTTATAACATCAAAATCTTTTTTAAACTCTTCAACATTGTTTGCTTAGTTTAAAAAAGCGCGCCTGAGGCGCGCAAAGGCGCGAGGCGCACAGGGGCGACATGTTTGTCGCATTTAACTCACCCAGGCGGCTCAGGTTCCTAGAGGCGTGCGCTTTTCACGCTTTTTAGCGCCTTTTGCGCTACTCAGAGGCGAGCGCTTTTCACGCCTCAGGGAAGCCGATGAAATTCTCTGCCGATTCCAATTCCATTTTTTTTTGCGATTCAGACCTCCTTTCCGTTTCTGATGTATCTCCCGTTTGAAGCTTACGACTTTTTTTCGCTGCTAGTGTCTCGTGTCTCAGAGGTAGTAAACGAGTCTATTTACTTTTTTTTTCTGCTGCTATTTATTCTCTTTTATTTTAAGTTGTTATATTTATAAAAATATTAAATTGTTTAAATAAAAAGTTAGATAACTGATACATACGTAGTATTATCTTTCGCTATTTATTAGTGTTGATAGATAACTGAAAAAAAGTTCAAGACTTTTAAGTTTGTAAGTTTTTTAAGTATTTTAAGTTTTTAAATTTATAAAATTATTTAAATTATTTAAATTTACAAATCTGTCCGTAATTAATTTTACAGATTTGAATTTGTGTGATAGTTTATTGATTAAATGTGTATTATTTTATAGTTTATTAGTTTATTACATATTACTATATCATAATACTATATAATAATATTGTAGTGTTAGAACACTGGTTTATTAACAATTTTTTAACAATTGTATATTGTTTTACACTGGTATATTCAAGCATGTTATACACTGGCAGGGAATCAGATTATCAGACTTATTAACAATATACAATTTGGAATCAGACTATATTGTAGTTTTAACAAATTTTTATATAACAGTTTAGTAGTTTATTACATTAATTGTTTGAATTACTATTAACAGATATAACAATTTATCACAAAATGACTATTAATTGTTTTATATATGAGGCTTATAATCAAATTGTATAATTTTTACAATATTACTTTAATATCAAGTTTGTTAGTTCTTACGGTATTACTTCAACAATCCACAATGCATAGTTTTTGTGATTATTTCATTCAATATTAGGGTTTTGTGACTTGACTTTTGGCAATTATGCCTTTAAACATATGTTTCTTGCTTGTGTCGTATTGTCTTTAATATATATTTTGTTTCTCTGATGATGTTTATTAAGATTGTTTAATAGTTTGATTTTTGAGAAGAGTGCTTCATGTAGAAGTACTAAAAATATATTTCACCAAAAAAAATGTGCCTGAGATCCGTGAGGCGCGCGCCTCACCGCCTAGCGCCTCACGCCTCGGGTAAATTGATGAAAGCGCCTCAAGCCGCCTCGTGCCTTTTAAAACCAAGATTGTTTGTGACCATTTCAAACCTCTCATTCTTTAGTTGGGCCTATTGAGCACGTCAGAGGCTAACTTAAATTCCATTCGACCCTAGTATTGCTCTCAATTAAGAATAAAAATACGTTTCAGTAACTTTGTCGTGTTTCTGATGCGGAATACATACTTCATGCTCAAATGTCTTGTGATATGATTCACTGATGAAAAGTTAGATAAACATCTAAAAGGGCTTAATATGGCTGAGCTCTCTACTACACAAATGATTCTTGTTGTACTTGAAGTGAGTAATCTTGGCTTGGTTCTAGCTACCAAACAAACAAAAATTGATTCCTACAACATAAGCATCTGCATGGATTTGTTTATCTAATGAAACAATAAATGAAGCAGGTGACGGGCAGTGACAGTGTGGAAGCTACAGAGCAGCAGACATCACTCCTTGTTCTTGCTCGTCAATTTATTATCGCAATGGCAGTATTAGACACATGGCAATACTTCATGCACAGGTACATGCATCAAAACAAGTTCCTCTACAAACACATTCACTCCCAACACCACCGTCTCGTGGTCCCCTATGCTTTTGGGGCTCTGTACAACCACCCACTCGAGGGCCTGATCCTCGACACTATTGGTGGCGCTTTGGCCTTCCTTGCCTCAGGTATGTCCCCGCGCACCTCGACCTTTTTCTTCTCTTTTGCCACCATCAAGACTGTCGACGACCACTGTGGGCTGTGGTTGCCGGGGAATCTTTTCCACATCTTTTTCAACAACAACTCTGCTTACCACGACATTCATCACCAGCTTTTTGGGACAAAGTATAATTACTCCCAGCCGTTCTTTGTGACCTGGGACAGATTACTTGGGACCTACATGCCGTACACGATAGAGCCAAGGGAGGGTGGGGGTTTTGAAGCTAGGCCTCCTACTACTAGCAAGGATTGCAAGGAGAATTGACTGAATTTGGTTGTTACATTTATTGCTATGTATTCCTTTTCTAGTTACAGATTTTGTGTGGCCACACAATTTTGTGCTTTTTATTTGTTCAATGTTTAGTGACATTATTTGTACATATCTATGTGTTCGCATATGTTGTATAATGAGTTGCTTTAGCATAACACAACAAGAAAACAAGAAAAAAAACAAGTATTCGTGTTTAATAAATGGTTTTAGTTTGCAAATATTCATATGTGATGTGTTTGCTTCATTCATCTGTAGATGGTTACGTAGCAAAGCAAACGAACTTTTTAGACGTTTGTTGGTTAAAGATGATTATTTTCTTCCCTAATTTTGTTACCAGAAAATGGCTTCCTTTGTTTGGGTGATTGGTTGGCTTGAAATGGTTTTCTCCCCTTCCGAAGCTCCCCCCCCCCCTCCCCCCCTCCCCGGAGTAATTCATATATGGGCATTTTTCCATATTTGTACATATTATTCTTTGATTTGTTTATCATTTAAAAAATGTCTCCACCCATGGACAATTGTATGTTGCCATATCAAAATTGAAGATTTCAATTCGCTCTAAAGATTGAGGATTTTCCACCAATACCATAATTTAGGGAGGTTTTTGAAAATTTTGTAGGGAGGCTTTCCACCAATATCATTTTGTAGGGAGGCTTTCGAAAATTTAGAAAGTCTCTGGAATTTCTTATATCTCTTAGTTATTAATTATTATTATTATTATTATATCCTATTAATAAATATTTCAATGCTTTTGGTAATGGGAATTACAAAATTCATATGAATGAGATATTATACATGTACACATAATATATAAAATAAATAAATTTTTCATATAGGAGTTGCACCAGGGGCAATGCCTCGGTGCAAAACTAGTTAACAAAAAATACATTCACATTCTTACCTGCGAAGCAATGCAATTTGTATCCGATCTACTCTTCAGATGTTCTTTTCGTTATTAAGTAACTCCTCCAAGGGGGTTAGATTCTTTATGGAAGTGAATTACACCAGTTAGGTTCTATTCAGTCTAAAAGAATGTACCAAGCGTCCTCTTGAAGCATGAAGATGTTACAGGGCTACATTTATTATCTATAGTTTCTGGCTTTCTGCAACAATAAACCATATGTTAAGGATACAGACCTCCCAAAGCAATTCAACCGCTACAATGGGTCAATGATTTCTTGTACTAAAATAGCATTGGCATGGTTTCAGGCACGCAATAAGCACCATTGATTGCATCAGGCAGTCGTCAAAATAATTTCAATGTGCTGATGTGGAACTATTGTCATTCAAAGTCCAGTACCGTTTGACTGCAACAAGTATTTTCTCAGGAACAAGGGGGCCGTCTTCATGGTCGATTAGTCTGTATTCCCATCTCATCCCTAGTATGATCTTCTTCACCTTGTTCAGCATATCCACTTGGTCCCTGAAAATGACTGCGCCCTCTGGCCTTAATATTCTGTCCATTTCCAGCAGAATGTCTTCAAAATCACACCTGTAATTATGGTATACTCAAATGTAAATGTATAATCAAGAACTTCCAGTGTATAAAAATGTCTTCAAAAACCATCTAGCCCTTTCTTATTACAAAAATGAGACTTCTTTTTTGGGACAGGCGGAGAGGGAAAGAATGCATACTTTTCCTTGTACAAGCTAAAAACGTCATTAGCATGAAGGAGATCGTAAGTCCTCGGGTATGTAGAGAAGGCTTCACACCTGAATCAAAAGGAAACTATGAGCAAACAGAGCCTTATCTTTTTCAAGTACTAATAAAATTAGAAGTAAATTGATCCCTTATTTATAGGGCCCCTTGGCATCCTATGGGCATTGTTGTGGTGTCACAAAACTGCTGAGATAAATAGCTTTTCATCGAAGCTTTAATACCTTACGTGAGTTGAGTTAACTTTATTTATTTTGGGTTTTGACATTCATTTTTCTTTTTGCACTTTAACTCGAAACTCTTTTTTTCACTTTTCATACTACCTTCGTCCACTAAACTTCGCCAACTTCCTTATTTGGTTGTCCCAAAAACGGTCAATTTCCCTTTAAAATAACTAATTTTTGGATAATATTATTATTCTCTCCTATGCACACAATTCAATAACACAGTTTTTACATTCTTATTCTGTTTCCGTGTGTCACGCTTGGCAAAGTTTTTCGTGAAAACAATAAATAAGGGATAAAAATATGACTAGTGACTAGAGTAGTAATGAAATCATAGTAATTCATGTTCAAGTTTTGAGCTTAAGTTACCACAACACCACATTGTAGTAATGAATAGTCATATTTATGTAAATATGTTTTATTTTAGTAATATTCTTGTAAAACCCCAAAATTCTATTGTTTGGTTACTGGGAACTGAACTTATTTTGAGTTGAAATTCCAGTGTTAAATGCAAAGAGTGAAATACTACGTAGTAGTTATACATGCGGTTCCACTCCTTTTGTTTAGGGAAAAAAATTTACTTTGTACCAAACATCAGGATTTCAATTGATGAGGAGAAACTTTATTCACGTGTACCAAATAACCCGTTAGTTTGAAAACAAAACATAAAATGCATAGTTGTGCTTCATCTGAAAGTTCTAGACACTAAACCCACTTTGACAACTAGCTTTACTTTCTATTATGGTCATAAATGGTTGAGATGAACAGTGTTAGGTGTCTGGGGTAAAGACAAACTTCGCCCAAGTTCCAGATTGGCCATTTTTTTAGACGGGCCGGATTTCCAATTTCCTGTTTTGGACCAGAAAAGCATTACAGGACGCTGGCCCAAACAAATTCTGGTTCCTACATTTCCATTTTATAAAAATGCTAAAATACCAGTCTGGAACTGACTAAATAACTGGACCTAAACTGACCCAAGAACTGGTTTCCACCCATAAAATGACCTGGAATCAGAAACAGACCAGGACCAAGACTACTTGGAGGGCTTGGGTTGGTGTTACATCTAACTGTCAGATGTCAAGATATAAGAGAATAGAAAGAGGGACATAGAGACTCACCAGTCATGGTATATGCCAATCATCCCTCGTTCATATATAACGCCCAAAGTATTTCTCTCAGCAATTGTTGGAATGACATTCATAACCCATTGCCTGGGAGATGTGAGTTGGGCAGCAAAACCTCCTAATCCTGCATTCATATCCATAATGTTGCGATACCTTCCAGAGTCGATCATTTTGTTCACTCTTTTGTAAGCATTAACATGCTTTTTCCACTTCTTGTTGTCTTCCAGATATGCCTGAACTGACATTCCCGTGACCAACCCACTAGCAATTCTAGGGGGGGCACTGTTAAGCCTCTCTGGGAATCGTTTGAGACTCTCATTAATCTTAGTATTGGGAGATGGAGTTATGCATGCCTCCATTTTCTTATACCTAATAAGAAATTCATGGAATAAAAATACAAATTATTATTTTCCTAGGAAAATAAACCAATTCCACGGAAAATGAATTCGTGATTGGTTGTGCTAAGGGTGAAGACAAAATCCATCCAATTACTTTCAGCAGTGCAAAAAAAGTCTCACATCGAAATATTAAAGATGAATTGATAGAGTTCATTAAAAGTTATACTCTTATGTCCCTTTTTCATACTGCCTACGTCCTGAAATGAAGTTAAACTTTCCTTGTTTGAATGTCATAATGAAGTAATGAAGTACTCAACTTCTCATTTACTCAAAAAGAAAGTTTATTAGACAAATGTCATTATTACCCTTAATTTTTGGCCTCTTTTTAAGTTAGTCTGGGTACACTTCAAAAGTGATAACAAAAATTTATCTTGCACACACACACATATGTATGTATATAGGTCAACCTTGGAACTTGATTGGGGGGGCAGAGGGTGTATTTCTTGGGAGACTCTTAACGTGTAGTTGGTGTAGACCATTCTATTGAAACCAAACGCCTGTTCTTGATTTTACAAGATGATAAACATGCAAGGAGTATAGGCTGTATAGCACAACTGTCAAAGGTGAATGCATAAGAACACATGATGGAAACAATTAAATGCTAGTTAGGTAAGAGTTATTTGACTGGAATGAGAAACACTTTCTGTTTTTTTTTTAAATATGTTCGGTAACAACAATTTTAACCAAAAGCTGCTTATTCTGTTAATAAATGTAACAAGAAGCTGAGTAAGCCAGAACTCTCTGCCAATGAGAGCCTTAGATTGACATACCAGACATCATCTGGATCTGTAGATTGACAAAATGCAACTCCAGCCTTCTTTTGAGCAGCTTGACATGAGTCAACATCCATTTTCTTCTGCCAGATTGCAATTTCACCCTTCTCAGATTTCTTCTCCCAACAGAGATGCTTAGCAATTTCTTCAATTTTTCTTTGCTCCTCTTGGAGTTCTTTCTTTGGACGTTGCCAGGCTTTGTAGTTAGTCTTCCAATGGATAGGTGGGCCAGAAAGAACCCAATAGCCCCCGGGCCTAAGAACTCTATCCACTTCCATCATTAGGATTCCACCTAGTGATGGAGAAACAATCAGTCAAAAGTCAAAACTCAACTCATATATGAAATTTAAACATGAACCTAATGAAAAGAGAAAACCATAACACTAGCAAAACTAAGGATGTTTTAATTGGACCGGTTTCAGTCCCACGCCAGACTTAAACAGATAACACAAGACTTAAATAGACCGGACCATATAAGAACAAACCAAATTAGACTTTGACGATTGTAAAATACACATCGAACATACATCTACCTAAGTAGAGCAGACCAGAAAATTACAGTCCAATTAAAAACATCCCAAGGTTACAATAATCTATAATTTATTCTATACTTTAACAGAAGCAAGGTTGCAATAATCTATTATTAATTCTATATTTTAACATAAGTTTGTGTCTTACTTCAGTGTTACCGATCTTTTCGGTTTAAATTCTTCAGGTTAAGTATCATCCTACATCAGTTTTCTATTAGGCTTAAACCTTGTAAATGAGTGTGAGCTAAACCTCAATCCTTAAAGATCCTTTAGGAAAGAGTTGGGTCCAATTTAATAAATTATTACCTCCAGCGCCCCAGGGAATTAAACAGCGGGAACAGTGAGCCATGTCGAATGCACGGGATGGATATGGCATTTTGATTGTTCCAAGTACCCCTATAACAGCAGGCACACCTCTTTCAAGGGCAAACTGAACCTGAGCTTCATGTGAGTCTCTTGGAGCAAAGGACATAGTTATAACATTTCTCTTCCAAAGATAAGCACCCCAACTCGCAACCTATCATATTTAATCGATAATGAAAAGGCAAGGTCAGAAATGTTCAGAGGAAAAAAGAACCAAGAGGAATTAGAATTAGACTTTCAACAATATTAATGTG